TAATTAAGAAATATAAATTAATAGTATATTCAGTCACTCCAATACAAAGTAACCAAATGTTTGGCTAAAGGTTTTATTTAATTATTTATTTTAATTACAAAAACTTTACTTAAAGCAATAGTTTTATTATTGATAGTTGGTTGTGATCTTTATTTCACCATGTCTAGACCAAAAATAAGTTTATATTTATTGTGCATATTGAATAATAAAATTAATATATTAAAATTAATTTTAAAAATTCAAATGGTATACTTTTCAATACTTAAGTGAATATTTTGCAACTTGATTACCATGAAATAATCTAGGTGCTAATAACTAGTATTTTAAACTTCTAGCATCGAGTTTGCATGTATATTTTATTCATTCATATTTCGTATCAATAGAAATTACATCTTGACAAGATAGTTGTTAGTTTTAAATGTTTACAAGCCATAAATAACCATTAATTTAATATTAATTATGCTATAAATAATTTTTCCAATAATCGCACTTATATACTTTATGTTAATTTATTCTTAAGTTAAACTCCATTAACATTTCATTTATAAATAATATATGTAAATATAAGTAAATTGTTGATTATATGTGAGTTAATGGGTCATCATTTTTATGTATTTTCAATGACACAATAAATAACTGAAATTAATTAAAATTAATCCCATGTTTGAAGTGTTTTCGGTGTTATGTTTAGCGCATAATATAATGGGAATATTGTCTTGACGTAAGTGTCGCTACAAAACCATATGTAATACAATTTGCCGTTCAATACAATACTCGAGAATTAATCTCATTTAATGGTTCAATCGATGGCATAACACATACGAGGAATCAATGCTTAAGAATACCATTTCATTAAAATTAAGACCCGATCCTAACCAATGGTAAGTAGAGATGTTAGTGATGCAAGTTTGACAATATTTAGGGCTAAATTTAGCCGTAGATTTAGGGAACATTTAGTGGTCTCAATGAACATTTAGGCTAAATTTTCAACTACTCTATTTTAGCAGCAGCTATATTGCGAATATATACTAAATAAATCACTATTTTGTGTAATTTAAACTAAATTAACAAATATTATTAAATAGTTATTTATTTACATTCTTAACAGAATACTTTATTTGGTATAAATTCATCATTATTTTGTAGTATAAAAAATTATAATAAATACTTTAAGTAAAATATTCACAGAATTTGAAAGAATCTTTGATAAATTTGAAATATTCATAAAACCAAAACATTGTTATGCTATTATTTTTAATGGAAAATGTTTTAATTAGTTTGATGTTTATATATCACATTAAAAGAATCTAGTTGAAAAGTATATAAAGATATAATATTTTTATGAAAATTTAGCCCAAAATTTCAAATCAGTCTAAATAAAACACATTTCAGTAAAATATCCATACCTCCTAAGTACAATTGGTAAGTCAGTATTCAATTCAACCCTTCAATACATGCTTATCAAGTGATATAATCCTCTCTCTCTCTCTCTCTCTCTCTCTCTCTTATTTCTTTCTCTAACACCTATCCATAGAAGAGCACCATTTTATCACTCAATTCACCACTTTATTCAAAGACCAAATACTCGATGATTACATTAATACAGGATTTGATTTAATAAATGTTTATTAAATATGAAATGTAAACCAAATTCATTTACATGTACTTTATTAGCAAAACAAGCTTGTGAATGTTTTTATGTAATCATGATCTTTATTTAATCATATTTTATAATAACAAAATCAATATAATTTTGGGAAAAATAAATAATATTAATATACATGTATATATTATTTGCTCGTTTAATTCAATAACCAAAATTGTAATTACTTTATGACAACATACATAATATGGCTAAAACTATGTATAAATCTATAATAATAATAATAGTTTTAATTAACAGAAAATGCAACGAATACACTAAACATTATTTAAGAATATATTAAATATTTGTAAATTAAATAACTTGTCTCAGACTAAAGGGATTTGTAATTTAATATATAATATGTAGTAAATTGTAATGATATGTCAAAGCACTATGAAATACAAATAATATAGATATTATGATAATTAAACACAAAAATTCTGAGAGATATAATGAAAGTTATGTCTAAAAATTATGTTAACATTACATAAACACTAAACACTAGGCTATCATCGTTTGGTTGTTGGCTGTGATCACAAAGTTTTTCTCATTTTAATTAATACTCATTTAATTTGCAGAAATATATTATTAAATTTTTTGTCAAAACATTGTTTTCGGTGTATTTTAACGTATAAACGAAAATGAGTGCAAAAATTGATTTATACATCTTTTTCATCTCATAGACAAATATTACAATAGATATGTTAAAGCATTTTCATGCGATTATTTCAATCAATACATTCATAATAATAATAATGTTAAACACTTTCTCGTCGAGTGTTAATAACACAAGAATTTTGTTTTACTTTCTTCGTTAAGTATAGTCTTAAATGGTTTTCATTATATAAATAAAGCGATTCTTTATATTTAATATTTTGTTTCAACGCTTTATATTTGGTTTAATATTTGTGTTGAAAACTATTGATGATATGCTTTCTTCTCAATGATATGTATTTTTGTATTTGAGACAAGATTTTGCCAAATATTGACAAACATTTAGTCCAATTAAAATAGTGGTGTGTTTTTTGCACATATATTCTGATAGTTATATAAAGCCTGAAAAATATTTGTGCTTCAAATGCAATAACTGGTACTCAAACTAAAAGACTATTTGTGTTGTGCTTTCGTTTCAGTTTCTGTAAAAAACTAGGATTTTTTGAAAGTGATTTTATATGCGTTTATATTGTGTTGAATTTATATTTATTTTGTTCAGTTTTTCTGTCTATTTATAATCTCATTGTATTTGTCGTGAAAAATATATTTGAATTTTTATTTATACGATATATTGAGAGAGAGAGAGAGAGAGAGAGAGAGAGAGAGAGAGAGAGAGAGAGAGAGAGAGA